AGAGAGAGAGAGAGAGAGAGAGAGAGGTCGGCGGTCACCCCATCCACGAGTTTCGCATACTTTTCCCAGTCGTGTATTTAAGTGGTGTTTATGTCGACAATAATGTTATATTAATATCTATGGCATTGAATGAAATCAATATATTTTTATTTATAGAATAATTAAAATATATAATTTGATTCAAAAATAGTGAATGCAATGCTAATATGTTTTGTAAACCTTCGGCAATAATGTGTAAAAATATATTAAATTTTTAAATTGTTGTCAAATTGTTGTAAAGTATAGCCTCTGAGGAATGAAAAGCCTATTTTGAATCACTTTCACTATCTTTTAGGGATCAATGGTTTTAACAAAAGATGTATTTTCGAGACATATTAAGCCTTCAGTAATATAAAGCATTATATTTACAAAATCACAATTTTGTGGTTTTCATTCAATAAAGAGATTGTATTTAAATTGCATTTCAAATATAAAACCCAATTATAATAAATTTTTGGCAAATATTTTTTCGAAAGGTATCCAAAATATTTAATACTTTTTTATTATTACAATACTATTGAAATACTTAACATTTTGTGTAAGTATTTCGTTATGTAATATATGCTATACTTTCATAAAAGGTTTTATATTTTTTTGCATATAAAAGAATTGAATTCATAAGAATTGTATTTAATCTGAAAAATGGATTAAATTTAAAATATTAAAAATATTTTAAGGATTTTGTTAAGATTTATACGAATATTTGGTCAAAATAGTTGGATTTTATTTAGTTAACAGCATAAATACCATCAACGATTGTTCAATATTGGTCCATTGACTTATTTTGTAGAATTTTATATATTTCCGTAAATCCTTTAGAATAAGAGACTATCCGACAATATTTTATAGCTAATACACCCAATATGTTAAAATTTAACATGTTAAATGTTCATGCCATAACCAGCATTGTTACCTTAATGATGCATGAAGAATTTGTGTCAAGGTTACAATACCGTCTTGGTCATATTTTACAGTCATGGCATGGAATACTTTATTTTTAATAGAATATTTAAAGGATTATAAATTTAAATTTAATAATTTAAAGGATTATAAAAATTGTCATAAATATATTAAAATATTGAAGTATTAAATGTAAACTGACGAATTGTTATACAATTTCAATCATCTACAGATATATTGCAATTATTCCTATAATTTATGCACATTTGTTGCGCAACCTCGTCATGTTTACAATTATTAATTACTTTTAATCAACTTTTGGTTAATATTTATGTATTACTAAAATAATATATTAATATTCATTATTTAGTTGATTTCTATTCAAAAGTTATAATTTATTAAATTATACAAAACTCATGTTTAAATAAGTATTACATAAATTGTTTACTAAATTATTGAATCAATTCATAAAATATTTATTTTGTTTAATAAGAAAATATTTATTCTTTATTCAATAATTTGAGTTCGCCTACAGTTTTCTCATATAAATTTAATGAGTGGGTGAGACGATGGAGAGAGAGAGAGAGAGAGAGAGAGAGAGAAATATAGTATACTATACTGTACTTTATATATTGAGAGAGAGAGTAATTAAATACAAGATTTTTGCATTTGTGTAAACGTGGGCTTAAATTTAATTTTAATTATATTCCTTAAGAATTCTTTAATAAATTGCTTAATAAATCATAAATAAAAGCAATTTCATTGACTCATTAAGCAATATGTTTATTGAGTAGTGTTTAAACAGTTTGTTTGAATGACTTCTAATTGTTAACATATTATTCAAAGCAATAATATATAGTATAATAATTGAAATATTAGGCCATTTAGTTTTATGGCCTTTTTCTACGAGTAATAAATAGAAAATAATTAATACATATATAATAATGATTCGTTCAATTAAGCCATAAAACAATAAAAGCATTTCCACAATGCATTCTCTATCGCTATATACATGTATATAACAATATAAACCATGTTTTGTTAATCCATTTATCAGATTTCAAACGTTTTTTCGATCCGCTTCTCATTCTTAAGCAATAAAATCCCATTTAATGTCAGAATAATTAAGAAATTTTATTCCTAAAGCTCTACACTTACTGTGAATGTAAACTAAAGGATTGATTTATTTGTTAACTTAATTGAAATGCTTTTGAATACTAAAAATAAAAGCGGAGAAATTGTTTGGTAAAAGTGCTTAACAGAAATGCAATGAATGAATCCATTAATAAAGAAGTGAATGAAAGCCATATCTCAAGTCAATTATATGTCAAAAAATTATGACATATTATGGCATACAATGGCTGTACTCATGAAAAGAAGCGAATCATTACATTCGCTATATCTTCTGTCATAAGTAGTGGTCATAACTTTTTTATCGCCAAAAATGGGTACTCATTGGAAGTGATTTTATTTGAAAAACATTAAGACGAGAGTATCTGCTGCTGATTGTCATCATCTCATCCAATATATGGACAAAAAAACTTATAAAAGTTGATGAGATTTGAAGCTATGAGTCAGTTGTGACCGTAAATAATGTTTGGGACACAATTGGATGCGAGAGAGAGAGAGAGAGAGAGAGAGAGAGAGAGAGAGATGTAGAGATGGGGGAGAGAAAGGGATGGAGAGGGAGAGTGGATGTGGACGTTGTCTCATACCTGTCAAACACAGCCGCGTTTAGTACTGTTTAGTAGTGTTGAGTCTCTCTCTCAATAATATTTTCATTGAGACTCGTGTTGGGAACAGATATTAGGGATAGTATAGAACCGCACAATTATTTCATGCAATACTCGCCTCTATATTAGTGGCGGAAACACAGAATATGTTCAATGAATGAAGAACTCGCCAACGGCTGCCCTTATGAGCGCACATTAGGTTTCATTAAAAATTTATTTAATTAAATATTTAGTTAGTCATTAATTTTGATTTATTTTGTTAATAACATTCAGATTAGAGTTTAAATTAAGAGATCACAACCAAAATGTTAAATCAAGTTATACTCAATTCAATGTGTGTTTTATGAGCTGTTGTTTACGAATTAAATATCATTAATCATAAAAGTTTGTGAAAGAAATTTATTAAATAATTTACAATAGAAATAGTTTGAGACAAAAGAATAGTTAAATATTTGGATTAAAACATAAGAAATAAAATGTGGACATAAATGGTATTCAGTGTTTATGTCATACAAACAAGTGCTCCAAATATAGATAAAAAGCTTATAAGGATTTCGTTTCACTTGTGTTTCGTATTATATATTTTGCGTTCAAAACCCGAACTCAAAGCTACGCTTCTGTCGACAATTGTATCCACAGTTTTGTTGGCTTCCAATCCATTGATGAGGAAAACTATATGATATGAGCGAACATTTTATATATCAATGAAAATGATAAAAATGCAATTCAATTCAATCACTCAAACACAGCGATTCCCTATCATCGCATCCAAACGACGACTTTTTTATATTAAAAACAAAACAAATTCGGGTCTAAAACCTCTATTTCCATATAAATATATGAATAAATTGATCCCCTATTGTATGCATAATACGAATATCAAATCTATTTTTCCCATTTTCTTCTCCACACTCCTTAACAATGAGTTTTCGGTTAACAAATAAATGTAAAACTCAATCACACAATCGTTTTGACGATTCCTGTCCTTATGTTTATACAAGTTTTAAAAACTCAATTCATTAAACGAATGATAAAAATAAAGTTCAAAATTATGCAAATCAACGAAAAACAGGTGTTTCTCAATCGTAATCATAATAATTATAGTTTTTATTTATATTTATTTCAAATGAATGTTTAGTCAATTGATTAGAAATGAGATAAAAAGCAGAATTGAAGACTATATTTATAACCGGAGAACAAAAGATTTATTTTTCGTGATATTATTCTTTGTGCCGTTTTTCGATTGAAAATTTGTTTTCTTCTTTTTCTTCCCTCTTATGTATTATTTGTTAAAATCCGTGTTTTGAAGGTTTAAATCGCATTTATTTGTCGATTGTATGCAAAGGCTATACATATTCGGCGCAAACAATAAAGATGTCATCCTTTGATTGGAGGCAACAATGAATGGCTTAAGTCTTGTCTCTCTGTTATGCGTGTAATGTCTGCCATAATATTCCGACGGATATTCAAATGCATTCATACTATCATTCACTCTAACTCTTGTAATTCCCGCACATTTCTTGTAAACGTTTGAATCAAACATTGAATGCGACGACAGATTCTCGCACTCACTCTCAAGAGATCTGATTCTCAAATCGATGGCATTGTTTTCGTCGGATTTCTATTCATTTGAATAAATAAATCAATATTCAAACAAATAAACAATTTTACCACTCATTCCCTATTCATTCATAATGTATTAATACATATGTTTTTTGCATTCTTTAACAAACGATAAGGAATTTAAAATTTACTCACAATTTGAATATCGTTTTGACTATAGTTTTGCAAATTTGTATCCAATGATAATGATTGGTGTGTATCGTCGGTATGCGGCGCCGGAACGTAAGCGGTCTCCCGTACGGACGCGAGTCCACCAAAATTTTTAAGTCGAGAATTTTTTCTCCATTTCGCTCTTCGGTTTTGAAACCATATCTATAAGTAATGAATGAATAAATTAGGAAAACAATTGCCATATAATGGCATTCAACGCAAACCTGCATTTTAGGCGTCGGAATACTGGTCTCTTGTGCTAAGCCATGCATTTGTTGTGCGTCCGGATAATGGGTTTCGTGAAAGACTTGTTCGAGTCTTTGAATTTGCCATAAATTGAATCGAGTTCTGCACCGCTTTGTTGTCACACACTCTCTGCCATTCATTTCAATTGTAATTCATATGAAATCAATGGACCAAATGATGTGATGGATGTAGAAATTTCTTAGGTTTTTATCACATAAAGCATACAATCATATGTCGCTTAAAAACAAATACAACTTATACTCAAATATTAGACTTAATTATCAAATTTACGCTCAAATATATGCATATAAATTATAGTATAGAAAATATGGTTTTCGGTTATTTTCTATGGACTTAAGGCACAGAATACAAGAATTAATGTCTTTTATGTAGAGATAAAATTTGAAAATAAAAAATCTTTCATAATTTTCATATAAGATTATGAAAGATATCATTAAAAAAAAGTAAAATACAATTCATATAAAAACAGATTGAATTAAATGCAGACAATTGGTTGAAAACATAAGCGTTTTTTGACTGAATTGATCCGAAAACTAGTGGTTAGTGGAGGTAATGGTGTGCCTGAAGTGTGTGCTTAACTCAAATACGATGACTGAATATAAGCTGAAAAATATTGATAATGAGATAAGATATCACTAACTATTACATGATTACCCATAAATTAATGTCTCTGAATGTGTCAAATACAGAGCATTTGCTACTAAAACCTCCCGTCGTTTAAGAGCAATAATAATGCTGTCATTTATGATATGATGAGCACTAACTGTAGCTTTCATTCTCGGTCTCCAATTTCTATGCCATTATATATATACTGAATATACTGTGTGTTTGTGTGCAGAATGTATGGCAAATATGTCTATATATTTGGTCATAATTTTTACAACCATTTTCTCTATTGTGTACACTATTATAAGCACCGCTATTAACCGAAAGCCATTAATAAGTTTTTGAGTCAATTAAACATTTGATACACAAATCGTCGAGAATTCATGCTATTCTTGACGATAAAAGGAGTCCCAAACCAATCGATTGCTCAATAATGAGGTTGTGTTGCAGTTCTGGTGACAACTAAATACATGTCTATTTCTCTATCACTATATAATTGTGTGTTTCACTCGTATATCGATAACAAACTCTTGAAATACTAATTTAAACACTACTATAAAAATAGTCGTTTGGAAAACAAATAATATAAATATAATTAGCAATTATTATAGTATTTCTCTAATCAGTGTGAGAGAGATCTCTACATAAATATAATTAAATTGCTTTTAAATTATTTATGTGATAATAAAAGTTATTTTTATGACTCCTTTACACATCATTAAAATGTTTGAGAAACGGTTTCAATTGGATTCTTGTCTTTAATTTATAGCTTTATTACCAATATTTCGATTCATTAAAACATTTTAATTGTTAAATAAATTTATTATAACATCTGAGTCCCAATAATATTGCAATAAATGTCGTATAAATATTGTTTAATTATTTAATTTGTTAGTAATTAATCTAAATTAAATATATTTTATTATTAAAAATTTTAATCATATGGATTCTGTGTATAAGTTATACAGTATAAGTTGTACGGTATAACCGAAACGTTCAACTTAATTATAAAATAAAAGTTATTAAATGTGCTAAATATTATTAAATTAAAAATTTATGAATTTTAAGGATTTATATATTTTATTATTTAAATACTAATTATAATTACCATTTAAATATCAATATTGGTAATTATTGACGAATTAAATTAACAGATACTTAATGATTAGATACGATATTAATGTAAGCTTATAAAAGCTTAACCAAAACCATAACCAACTGATTATAATATTAATAATTATTTGTATTGCAAGAATATTTTCATTATTTATTTGTTATTTCATTACAAATGGAAATTCGTGTACAATAATATTATTCTGTATTATCATGCTGTTTATTTACTTAACGAAACTTTACCTTAATATAAAATTAAGTGTCTAAATGAAATTATATTGCAAACCAAAATCTCTTAAGTTAGTAATTACAAAATATTACCGTTAATCCAATTATGACCAATATTCACCATGTACAGTACTGTATCTTCACATGTAAAAATTACACGTAAGGCATATTATATACATTACTGCACATACTGTATACACCTGTTTAAAATTCTATTAAAGCAGCTGTTTTATGCAACAAAATTTAATGCACACATTTAATTAAAATAATTAATTTTATTATTTTAATTATTTAATTTAAGCTTAAAATCTATTAATTCAATACAAAATGCATAACCAATACGGTATACAGTAGTTAAACATACATTATAATAAAGTATACTTACATTTCCAACCAATACATAAACCGGCAAAATTTTATCTTTATTACAAATAATAATAGAAATATTTGTTATATCTTTGGATCACTTATAATCTTAATAATTTTCTAAAGCATTCAAGCATTTCACCAATCATTGGGAGAGAGAGAGAGAGAGAGAGAGAGAGAGAGAGAGAGAGAGAGAGAGAGAGAGNTTATCGCATAAATAATTTAAAAGCAATTTAATTATATTTATGTAGAGATCTCTCTCACACTGATTAGAGAGAGAGAGAGAGTTAACAAGTTTTAATTATGATTTACTCAAATATTGTACACAATTTTAATGTCAATAAATAATTCAACAAATTTCATAATAGAATTTCACAAAATGTTTTAATTTACAAATCAATACATAATTTTGGTTTATCTGTAGAAGAAATGCCAAAATAACGAAAAAATAAAATATAAATTTCAATATATAATAAACCATTTAAAAAACAGTTAAAAGGAATACAATTAATTAATATATATTTATTTGACTAAAAAAGCGTTCATTTTGTCCTAAAGTATCTTAAATTTCTCTTTAAGTTTACCTTTCATTAGGACTGGAATTACGGAAACGGCAGCGAATATAATGAGCCCTACAATCGATTGCCACGAAAGGATGTTAGCGCTGGACGACAGCTTCTGGAGAGTGGTTCCCGCCTGGACTGCGATGAACGACGGCGGGGCCACACCTGCGGGGGCACAGAGGCGTGGGTGGAGTCACCACACCATTCATTAAAAGTATATCATTTTAATTGTTTGCAAAAACATCGGCCAAACCATAGGTTCAGTTCAATGCAATGCACTGACGGTTCGCTGAATGACATCTCTCGACATTCAAGCGAACCGCAGATCGGGTTTTAAAATAAGGGATCAATTGATTTACCAAAAAAGGTTCCGATGAAGAATGTGGTCAACGGAATGTCAACTAACGGCGACGTAATGTTTATGAACCAATTTGGCAGCAATGGTGTGATTCTCAAGAATATTATATAATACATGAGATTATCCTTTTGTTTGTCGACCTAAACGGACAGCAAATATCATTGAAAGACACCATCGCTTCACACAAACACCACTTCACGCCTACCTGTGCCGCCCATTGCGCCGCCTTTTGTGGCCAATACTTGAGAACAATACGTCTTCCGACCAAATAAGACAACAGATAGCAGAGGGAAGCGCCCACTGCTGAACACTACACGCCATCGATGGTAAGGGTGTATATCATGTGTGAGATTAATTGATTCAATGGATTCAATGGTCAGACATACCAAACAGACGCAGAAGAGAGCCATCGGGAATGGGAACAGAAAACCAGATAAAATACTGAGGAATATTGAGCCGGGAATCGCAAACGACTGAAGACTGTCACCACAAAAGCGGTTCCCAATTATTAGTCATCGAGTTTAACATTTGGGGGACAATAACGACAATAACAATGGACTCAGACTTACAAGACATAAGTGACGAGAAAACCGCTTAAAACCACCACAAAATACTTGTCCTTATAATGAGATAATACTGTTCCCAATCGTTTGGCGTCTTCTATATTCTTCGGGAGTCTTATGTGATTCCTCTCAGACCTGAAGATACAAATAAAGAAATTAAATGTCCGGTCCATTGATTGATTGGTTGGTCCACACGTTTGGCATTCACTTCACTTACGGCTCGAGTTTAGGAAAGTTATAGTAAACAAGACTTAGACAAAGAACTGATCCCAAGAATATGGCCATCAGTATTACCACCGCTTTTCGGGTCGAGATATAGTCTGACATTTTGACCATCGATTTCATGGATATCACAGACACTCAACTGATTTGTTAATAATTTAATAATAATAATAGTATAGAATTGTATATAAATATTGTATTCAATTAATTGTAAATATAATTTCAAAACTAACTATAATTAAGACTTGAATTAAATATAAAATGCATTCAAAATCAATGCTATAATGAATGCAAACAACAATTAATGACAAAATTGTGACTCAATTATTGAGAGCACAAAACATGTGATGTCTATCGACTCGAGTCTATCGGACTATCGCTTATCACTCACTCATAAACTATGTCTTCAATTCAACACAACATTCAAAGTCCCCTTTCATTAGCGTTCAGATTATAAACATTTAATTATTAATAAACAGTTTTTCATTTAATACAAGTTGTATTGATATGTTATGCCATTATAACTAATTATAATATATTAAAGTAGTTATAGTAATGTTATTGTAATTATGTTTTCAATGGTATATGTAATCCAATATTGATTGGGTTTTTATTATAATAGACATCTTATGAAAGTTAGCAAAACTTTGGGACTTATAATTGACACCATATTATAGGGATTTATAAAATAATTTGTTAAATATGAATATAAATACTATACTTATAGTTTCTCATTGTTTATACTGTAGTGAATTTTTAGTTAAAACATTCTTGTAAATGTCAGAGAGTTATAAATAGCTTCATGTATTTTACACTTAATTAATGCACAATTCTTGGCCACATTTTAAATGAAATTCTTTTATATAACACATTTCATATCAAATTCCTAATGGTTTTTATTTTTATCATATATTAATATTTTAAAAATTATTTCGTTATAAAAAATATAAATTTTCCGATAGATATTTAAATACAATTCATTTATAATCAAAGGCAATAAATAACATATAAATAAACAAAATTTGTTTTTAGCTATAAATTAAATTATTTGTAAATTGCATAAAAAGATGAAAACTTTTGGTTTACGAAATACTGATAAATATATTTAAACGTAATTTACATTATTATTGCATAACATATCGAAAAATTTATTTTGAAACACGTTTAACATTGAAATGACATAAACTTTTTGTTGAAGTTTTCCATCAGTTTTGCAATCGTTTAATTATAAATCAAATGTTTGTATTAAAAAACTTTCCTAAAAATGAGTCCAAAACTAATGCATAAAATCATAATTTTTTGAATTTATGAGAAATTGAGAGTTCATTAATGACTTTCATATCATTTTTATTATTAAACTCTATATTAACGAAACGATTCTCTTCTGACGTATTCTTCATCTTTTCGCTCACTTTCTGGAAAATACTTTTAAATCTTTTCACTTCCGTTTCGTTTCCGCACTTTTCTGAGTCGGCGATCATTTTAGACAAGTTTTCCGATAAATGTTTTAACATTTCTACTGAAGTCTTGATATTACTATCCTTTAAAAGAAAAAAATAATAATTAAATTTTTTATTGCATTAATTATTGCATTAAAATTATTATATTTTGTTAAACAAAACCTTAGCTCTTCTGATATCCAAATGAATAAGAAGTGTCGATAAATCGAGTTCTTCGCTGAACTCATTCTTCAATTGAACGCTTCTATAACCTGTCGGACATTCACAACAAAATGATAACAAAAATAACAATCAATGCATTAAGTGTTAAAGAATGAGCCAAACCTGGTCTCAGACAAGTGATAGGGAGTGTTGAGTGTCCGACAAAACTCGAGTCGTCGAAAGTGTCCAAATGACAGACCAAAAAGCGGATTAACGCCAATTCGGGACACGTTATGTTGAATACAAATGTCTCACTCGACCAAACGGGGTTCAGGCCGTTGTCATCTATACGTCCGACTCGTATATTAATATTTAATTTATTTACAAGTTTTATATTAAAAAAAACTTACGGACGACTCGAGTTAAGCACTTTCTGCAGTCATAGTCAACGCCTATTATCTCTATTTCGATGGAAGGACTGACTATTCCTTTCAGTGATTTCTTCAGATTCCTGGCACCGATTACCTGAAGATTATATTTTAATGTAAATATTTTAAAACTGAAAAAATAGTAATATTTATTACCCTAACTGTCAGTATAACTGGATTATAATTCTGTAATTCTAACGGCTTTTCATAAGGATTATAGTTGTCGTCAAACATATACTGAGGTTTCAAAACATAACCACTTTTGCCGTTTTGCAAAAACACGGCTTCATTTAATTGCATAGATTTGTCGGGCGTTTGATAGTTAAGTGCAGCCATTTGTAGGCCTGAGTTCCACATCCGGATGGGATCGTAATTGGATGAATTCATACGTGGTCCTTTCGGGTACACTCTACTCAACTGCTTTTCATTGTATTTCAATATATTTCTAAAATTGTTTGGATTTATGAGTTTCTCAAATTTGCTTTCGGAAAACGATGACATTTCTGTAAAATGTGTCGAACCTATGAATTAAATATGCGGTGAATTATTGTATTAAAATTTAATTTATAAATTCATTTCATAAATTGTGTCCAAAAAGTCTCTAAAACTCCCCTTTCATTAAATTTACTATAATTTATGAACAATTATCTAATTAAGAGCTAAATAACGCTCATTTGAAATAAGGCCAAAAAGTATATCACGAGTGATAAGAGTTTTAAAAGTGAATCAAATGACAGAATATTTACAATAATAATAATAAAGATAAGAAAATAACTTAATTTATTGTCACGATTCCAACTTCTTTTATATTAACACTTTAAAAATGCTTTTCTTTTTAACTAATAAATTGTGAGCACTTTTGCATAATAATAGAGTTATAAAATAGTTGGAGACTCACAGCCATTGAAGGGAACGGCACTGCAATAGACAATAAGGCTGTTTAATTCGGGCGCAATCTTTACGTTTTGCTTCAATTCTTTGCTGTTTCTTAGCTATGAATATATTGAGTTAATTAATTAAATGAATATATAATTTATGATTGTTTACTTTGGCCTTGCTCAATTGAATTGTCTCTTGTATTTTGGTAATCCATTCCCTCATTTCTTCCTCATTCTGTGCCGATATATCGAGAGTTCCCAAACGGAAAACCCATTCACGGCTACTGTTTTGTACGAACGGCACGAGAATTAAATTGGCGTTGAGTTCAACCGACCCATGCTTTAAATCCCACGACAATTTATTCTTCACATTGAAAACATTAATCAAATATAATAATTAATTAAATATATTAATTATTAATATTGATTATTACCGATGAAAATGGTTTCATATCTTCGTTGTCTATTTCTTCGACAAAGTTTGAGGGAAAATAGTAACCAATCTTAGAGCCGATGTCACCCCTCCACCATCCGTGGTCTTGTTTCACAACATTAACAATAATATCTCCGGCGCTGAACGACAATTCTTCGGCATTCTTCGCCTGATAGTCATAACTAGCCATCACTTTAATTGTATTACTCTTTGGGTTCATGTAATTGCATTGAGAATCCAAATCCGGTTCCTGTAAATAATTTACATCATTTAATTAATGATTCAATTGATGTGTGACTAACCCCTCCGAGTTTGTCGACAATCTCTTTAGTGGCCGGAAATTTTAGTTTCACTTTTCTGTTATAAAATATTTCATTAATAATATTATATTTTTCAAATCTCAATACTCAACCTATAGAGTGGGTTCTTCTCGTAATATTCAATAAGTTCTGTAAGGCTTTCAAATTCTGCGCTTCCGATCAAATATAGCCTTCCCTCGCGTTTTATACGGCAGTGTTTGATCTTATTCTCAGCTCTGCAATGATTTTAATTAATTTTTCATTAGATTTTGCTATAAGTATTGTTTTTTTTCGATAAGAAAACCTAAAAGAAATAGAAAATAGATTGTCGTCTTCAGAGTGAGATCTCTCACTCGGCCGGACGAGGAAAGCGCCGTTATTTCTCAGTCTTCTGAGCAGATCTTCGGCCTGAGATCGGGTCATATTCTTGTAAAACCATTCCTTGTCTTCGTGTGAATTTGGTTGCGGAACAGGAGTTTTCAAATACAACTCCTGAAACTTTTGGCTCCGAAGCGGATGCATCTGATAATAGGCTATGAGTTCATAAAGACTTTGAAAGGTCTTGTATTTGTTGAGGTTATAAGTTTTGTTGTTAGTATTATTGGTGTGATATATAATACTGTGATGGATCTGATTCTTATATATGAATGACAGCGAAAATACACCAGAATTTGATTCACCGTTTCTGACCAGAAATGTGCCGTCACTGCTGTTATCATCGCATAAATACCTGTTCAACAATAACTCGGCCTCCGCTCGCTTTGTAAACAAATTGAATTTTTAATTGAATAGTAAATAACTTATTATTAATAAGTAATTACTTTAACTTTTCCGTGAAACCAAGTCTCTCCGAAATGCATTTCATAGGCGTTGTTCTCATACAATTCCGCCGAATCTCTTGTCCCATAAATATTCTCCTCTTCTTCGTCGTCATCTTCTTCCTCAGCATTGGGTTCGACATAATATAGCTTTTCTTGAGTCAATACAAAGTAATATGTTTTCCACTTCTATAACATTAATAATGAAATCAATTCTTATATAACTTTAGTATTGATTCTGTTGTGTAAACCTTTTCAGTGATGTCTTCAATATAGAGAATTCCATTCTTAATAGAATTACTGATATCGAGGTCTAAATCGCTGTTGTCTTCAGTTTTTGGTGAATTTAAAGGTCTGTCATTTGATAACTTTTTGTGCTGTGTTTCAAAAGTAATGTTTAACAATATAAATACATTAAAGTTTATGATTATTTTTAATAATAAGTTATTATTATTAATAACTTAATACATTCATAAACTTTGAGTTTCTAAACTTGCCTTAAGTATGATTTTGCCCTTCAATTGATTAGGAGAAGGCATTACCTCTTCGTTTGAATTGATTTGTTGTGTTAACAAAGAGTCTGTGAAATGAATTAGTTATTAACCCGTTTGTTAAGCATTGTGTTAACCGTTAAAACCAAACCTCCAAAAACTTCTCGAAAAGCTGTGGCCATATATTGCTGTTGTTTAAAACTGCAGTGATTTTCAATCGATAAGATCAATGGATATTCAGATGCAGTGAACGCGTGTCTCTTTATGGTTGTAATGACATCAATAAAACGTATTCTTGATGTCAAAGTGTGGCCGTGATATATAAGCGGCTTTCCTTCCGGTCCGTCCCAACAGTCCACTTATATTGAGGTCAATTTATCATTACATTTAGATTAACATAATAAGTTATATGAAATACTTTTAAATGTGTACTGTATTCAAATAAATATTGAACTCTAAAGTAAATTTTAAACCTTTGTTTTAATATTGAATATTTTAATATAAGATTTAATATTCATTTTCATTAAAAGAATATTCTTGATATATTTGATGAGTAAATATTTGAAATATTACAGTATTTAAAAATGTTATATTTTATGTGATAAATGTATAAAATGTTGAAATATTAGACTCACATTCAATACATCTGCAGCCCATCTGAAGACATCTCGCATAACATTCAACGGACGACTCGCTCATGAATTGGTCTCCACTTAAGTATGTGTTATGAGAGGTAGCGATGAAATAATGTGGTAATGGATGTGACATATCTTGATATACAATCTCATACTTTAAATCCCAAACACTGTTTTGTTTGGAGAATAGATAATCAGTAAATTCATTGGTTGTGAAATACGGGTCCACTTCGTAGTGTCTCAGCGGATCCAAGACATAGCTGTTAATTAAAAGCGATGCCTTATTTTGGTCCAAAGTTTCATTTTTCTGCTCTTTTCTTAAAAAAGTGAGAAATTCTTTGAGAGTAACTCTCTTTCCATCGCCAGAATAAGAGCCAATTTGTTCGCTCAGGAATTTATTTGAGTCCAAATTCATTAGATTCAAGAAAAATGTGGAAAAGCCATCGAAATCGAGTTGATTTGCAAACTCTTTGTCCACTGCATGGAAGTGTCCCTTCAACTGTTCGTTTGATAGTTTGCAGTGAATTTTGGCTAAAAATGCTTTCATGTCTTTCAAATAAATCCTAAAATATATACAAAATGTGTTAAATCTATTGTTGTATAAATAGTAATCCAAATTACACTCCGGTTTTGTGCTTATTCTGGACACCCATTCTGTTTAGGTCTGCGAACTCTCGTCTCAACATTATATCGATGTGCGAATGATAGGGCGCTCTCAATAGGGTTTGCCTCAAATATCTTATGCCTTTAGACCAGAGTTCGATGTCGTTTGAAGAATCGGCTGAAAACGCAAACATTTAATATTTTGGACAAATAAAAGCACCAACTTTTCAACACTCACCGAAACATATCAACTCTTTTAATCTAAACTTTTTGCCGTAATAAATGGCAAAAACCTGATCAGAATACGCTTTCCTCGGGTCATCCGCTTTATTCTCAGTGGGCTTTAAATAGGTTCCGATTCGCACTTCTCTGATGTCTTTCAAATGGATGATACCCTCGATCTGACTCTTGGCTGAACACCACAGAAGTCGGAAGAGATCGAGTTGTATTTGAAACAGTCTTCGCTCAGTCTTGCCTTTGATCTCCAGTTTATTAAACATCATTCCGTACTCTATTTTATTAAGCGATTCTTTCGGGAATCCGTTCTCTTTGTACAGAATATTATTGATGAGTACCGAAGGCGGCATTTTTGACTCCTTTAGACTCATCTTAATTCACAATTAGATTAAATTTAACATTTAGTCTATAAATAGTCTATAAATGTTATGTATTGTGTTTAGTCCAGTCATCCAATGATTAAACAACAGATCGACATCCGCTACACAATCGATATTTCCTGACATCCTGTCAACGACTCATACTATTTTTAATCATTGAATTTTTTTTATACAGTATTACTATAAATTACAAAAAAATACAATAGGTTATAAACTAATTGTTTAACCTTTTTTAAATATATAACAAATAGCTATTAAATAATAATAATTTTATTTATGTTAAAAATTTCACTTGTTTTGTGTAATATTTATTCTGATTTTACGTTCGACATGGTTAAAATAGTAATAATCTAAAAAGACTCAAATTATTTAAATATTTAATTATAAAATTGTAAAATTTTGATGTTGGTAATATTTATACAAAATTCATTAATGATTAGATATGCTTTATTTCCACTTTAAATATTATAGAAATTTTTAATATAATTTGCTATTTAATAACAATTATTATTAATTATCGATTAAAATTTCTAGTTATAATAAACAAAATATCATTTTAAATTATAACAATTACAAATATTAGCTATAAGTCATGGGAGGCAGACACCTGCTCAAAATACACTTGTCCAAATTAGCAATTCCGAACAAATTGTTATATTTCATTAAATTATTGTAATTATAATTACTAATACAGTATTTTAAATTTTTAAGTTAGTATTAAGCCGTAAGAAAGCTATCAAGATTATAAAATACTTGTTATATTATTAATTTTTCAAGCAAGTGTCATGGACCGATAATTTATTTGTATTGCACTTTGGCATTTAAATGTTTCGGAAATACCTTTCAATCATATTTATCTAACATTTAATTCCTCAACGTTAACACAACTCACAATTTAACACTACATTCAGTCTAAATGTGGTGTTATTTTTATTATTTGTTACAAAATTTCACTTTTTATATAAAATCTCTAGTGGATATAAAATGGCATAGGTGTAAATATTATACAGCCTTATTCTAGATAATAACCCAGGTACTCTATAAACCTTTGAATATACTGTAAGTGATAATTCAAGATTTATTGTTTAAGAAATCACTATTAGATTAATATAAAATTGACATTTATTGAAATGTTTTCATAAATAATACAAATACTTAAGTATCGAGAGAACAAAATTTAATTTTATATTAAATAGAGTATAATTTTTTAAATATATTTTAAAATATTTATTCTGTGAGTAAAATGAATAGCGATTCCGTAATATTAGGTTTTATATTTGTGAGCCATCTATTCCTTCAGTCCTGGTCTGTACTATAATTGTATTTTAATTCATACCTTAATTAAGATAACTATTGTTGTATTTTAGGGCTATTCTGGCTTTTATGGACTTAAGTTTTGTATATTATAACATATTCTTCTTATTGAGTCTTTTATGGTCCGTTCACGAAACCAAAGCCTCGGCGCCGGTGTTTATCTCATTACTATTGAACGTAATGGCAATCATTTGTGATGCCGTTTTAATAGGACTCTTATGGGATGATAAATATGCCGCTTACCACCGATTTTATTTTATTTTGAGTATAATGTAAGTCAATGTATATCTGAATTATTTTAATATTTAATTAAACCAAACAAACATCTAATAACTGTCAACTATATTAGAATTTTTATTAAAATCTTTAATTGTTTATCAATTTAGGGCCACAATTGCAAACCTGATCTATAGATTCATCACATCTCTAGTAATTTATCGCATTTTAAATAAACGCAAATTAATTGAAGCAAACAATCAAAGTATTGGAAGTGTTGCCCGAGATTTCACTACTTATCTGAACTTTTCGCAAACTTCATCGACAACTACAACACAATCCCAATCAACCCCTCCTCCAAACCAAACAACAGAACCATAATTCTTATATAACTTTAAATATTATCATTTACTATGTAATGACAAAAATAAACGATCATGCCTGTAAAGTATTGTAACAAAACAAAGTTAATCATCATAACCAATGGTAGTTAAATATAATGTTTATTTATAAAATAGTAATTTCAAATTAAAATTATAATACATTTAAAGAACTATTTTTTCTTATCGAAGCCAACGGTTTCAATAATCATAACGTCTTCCTCTTCTTCGTCACTCATTTTCTCAATTTTCTGTTTCTGAATGTCTTCGAGAGTTAGGATCTCGTCGTTGGACTCGTCGGACATAATCTGCTCGCTTTGGTCGTTGAACTGCCACTGAGTTTTGCCGCCCTCTCCGATGCCGCCAATGCCTCTGCCGTACAAATAGACGTTATCAGTGGGCGCGTCGACCACTTCGGGCTCCATCGGCTCGTCCTCTTCTATTCGGTCCACTTTAATGACGTCCAATAAATTCATTTCCGGTCTTTCAATGCCAGACATAATACCCGTCCGAATGGCGTTCGCGAACCCAATACTCTCCGGACTATTAATTCGCTTCTCTTTATCGGTTTGCAGCGAATTCTTCATGAATTCTGTCAAATACTTGACTCTTTCGATCGCCTTTTGGGAACAATTGATCACTTTCTCGGAATCGATCACTGGTTTGCCGAAACAGTGCAGACCAATGATCTCCCGGTAAGTGTTGGCCGACACGACCAGCAAAGCGTCGGCCGACTCTTCTTCGCATTGGTTTGGATCGCAAACGAGTCGATAGATATTGTTGTCCACAAAGAAGGCAAACGACACACAAAACGGATAGTGAAGTAATGTTAGATTCAATGCATGTTTTTCGTCAAATGAATGTATTTTGAGCGTCCGATCGACGCTAACCGTCACCTCTGGTCGTCTGAAACACACAATTATAACACATAAGTCTTGGCTTTAAAGACATTCAAATCATTATCATTACTTGAAGTGCGACAACGAGGCGATGGCCGCAACACTCGACGCCTCTAACAAATTGCCGTCAAAGTTGAGACAAATGATGTGACACCTGATTGTCCACACCTTTTCACCCGAAACCAGACAAAGAGATTCGGTGTCCAAAGCGCGCGAATCCTTTAGACTCCGCTCCAGAAAGCGGAGACAATGTATGCCATCGAGTGGTAGAGAGCGTTGATATGAGTCCAACCACTTCTCACTTCCCGAACACAAGTCAAGACTCAATTCAACGATCCCTTCGTTCGGACGCGAAATCTTCGGTTCCGTAATGTCTGCAGAAGTGGTGGCGAAGACACTGAATGTAATGACAACAAAACAATTGATTAGTCCGAGTGATAGGTCGGCAACAGATGTGTCAATACATGGTTTGTCCCATCCGTACAAAACAGGTGCCGAAGTGTTGGCCGTAAACAAGGCCTAAGCGTCGGCTTTGAGTCTCCGATCGGAAGTCTATTCGCTATATATTTGGCATAAAATTAATGTTTTCTTCAATTTTATAAAACAATTCACAAAAACATTACTTTCTTTTGATTAATGATTGCATTTCTTATGAAAGTTTTGTTGGTTTTCGGCATTTGTTTCATTTTTTCTTAATTAATGTAAAACTAATTTTCAAAATAAAATTAATTGTGAAATAAATTCAATTTATTAAACAATTTATAAAACATTTACAAATCAATCAAAAATATATTTCAAATAAAAAACACGTTTTTGTGTTTATGTTGTGTTTTGCACATAAAATACGTACAAAAATAATATGATTGTCAAAATAAATGCTAAAATGACTATAAAAACTACCATGGTCAATTTGATTTAATATACAATACCACTACCACTGGTTACTAATCAATCCATAGGACTATCTATAACTTCCAGAAGAATACTTTTATACATCAATTGTTTGGACATTAATTGATTGCACTTTCAATAAAATCATTTGAACACTTCTTAAAGAATTTTTATTTTAAATACAGAATAAAATAATTGTAAAAAATTTATAAAAATTACTTAATTTTCTATATAATGAGTTAATTAACATTTAAATGCATTCATTGAATACTAAAGCAAAATATATGAGATATTCATTTAATGAGTTTAAATTGTTTACGAAATGTTTGTAACAATAATTTGTTGGCAATTATCTGAAGAATGGGTTGAATTCAAATCAATACAATCGTCGCAATCGAGACAATCGTTGTTTTCTTGTGAACAACACGTGAATGAATCGCAATTAGTGTTTGAAAACTTTGAGCATTTCATTAGACATGAGATGGGAATCAATTGATTGGCAGAAGTGTTTGGGTCATAGAATTCTGGCTGAACTGTCGCCAAAACAATGCCTTGTTTTCGGAAATATGTGTCCAATAGTTGCGAGAATTGAGCGAAACATTTGGTCGACTGTTTCGGTAATATTATATGACAGGAGGCGACGATTCTGGAGGCGTTCAGACACCAGATGTGCAGATCGTGAATGTTTAGTATTATTGGGAACTATATTAGTGAACAAAAATCAATTATATAACAGTCATTATAACACAAAATTATAAGCAATTACTTCTTTGAGAATATTCTTCTTGAGTCGCCCGACATTTATGTTTTCGGGAACCGTTTGTAATAATATAAGTCCCGTATCTTTGACTATAAAATAATTTTCAATTTTAGTTATTTGTCTTAACATTTATGTTATAAGTTTTGAAGCAATTCTCACTTTCGGGGTATAAAGTGATGCAAAAGAGAACCGCAGAAATAATTCCGAAAATGGGATCAAAAAGGTTTGCAATCATTTGTTCCGTTTGTAATGTTAATACACAGACACCACATATAATCAATAGTATAGATCCGCTCAGATCTCTGAACATTCTGTATATCATATTTTGATTGCTTTTCGGTTGACTTAGTATTGGATTTACTAAAAGTTTGTGATTATATGGAAATTATTAGTATATTTCTTAAAAATTTTGATTTAAAATTGAAATAAATTGAAACCTTTATCCGATTGAATAGTCAATAGTTTTTCGGACACATCTTTGGCTTCTGTGTCTTCAATACCAGTCGGCGAGTCTATATTCAAACCCAATATATTATTGAAAACTATCTTCTCTTGTGCTCTAAGGCTTAAACTATTAGTTCTTTGTTTGTGTTGATCCAGAATTGCGTCTACGAAGAGATATAAAAACTCAATACATAATTAAGAGGAGATTACTATTGATGAATATATTCAATTACCGCTGAGAATATTGAAATAAATGAGATTAAAAATGAATCCAAAAACTCCAAAAGCAAATAATAAATTATAATTAGTCGGCTCTGAGATCTCATGAGATGAATGAACCAATTGTTGTATGCCTTCCACTAGTAGTGAGAAAGTGAGGGCCACTAAGAAAGTCATATTCACTAACATTCCCAACACTTCAATCCGCGCCCAACCGAACGTATTCTTCACAGTCTTCTCACTTGACATCTATTGTGACAATTCATTCAACTAATTATTATTTCAATTTTAAAACTTATATTTGGGTCTAATTGTTAAAGAATAAGGGATTCTTGTATTTATGAATGTTATGGACCCGTACTCTTGTCTACCCGTTGGCATCACTTTGTATGTCATCAAGTGATACATTATCTCATGTAAAATGTGTGCCAAATTATGCTCTATTTATGTCAAAAACTCGAAATTGTGTGATTAAATCAAAAGCTATTTACTAAATAATTTTTCTCATATTATAGATATTTCTACAATCTGTAATTGAATATTCAATAAATTCAAATAAGTTATCTGAAAAAACATATTAATTTCATTTTATGTAAATACAAGGAATTTTGTCATAAAATAGTCCCACAATTAATAATTTATGAATTTAATAAGAAAATATTGAATATTTTATAAACTAATGTTTGAATGTATAATTAAAATTATTATTTTTTAGGTAAATATTGTTAAAAATATAATTACTCTAATAAAGTGTTTCTAAATAACAAATAAACTATTCATGTAAAATTAATAATAAGTTATTTATATATGTGGTCAGAAAAATAGGATAATTAAAGATTTAACCATCGATTAATTAGGAGATGGAGTGAATGAACTGTTTATATAATGCAAACCAAACAAATACAGTGAATAGCATATCGATTGAATGGAAAACTTCAATATTTTCACTTAACGTCTTAACAAAAGTGTATTTTATATTTAGCAAAGATTTAATTGATTTTATTCGGTATTTCATAAGTTTCATCACATCAAGTGAGAGGTATAGTCAGTGGTTAGGAATCCTTGAAAATAACGCATTAATTACTAAATACATTAATCATCGGATAATTTATTTAAAACGTTGCGTTAAATACTATCAAAGATTACATATCCTATGGAAGTGACAATTGGCTATAAATATTTTACAATAATTAAATAATACGATAATTGCACATTTACAGTAAATGCTAATTACACGTAGTTAAACGTTAAAACACAAAAATGTTTACCTTGAAACTAATGACCAAAAGCAAAATGCTCAAGATGTTATACAGTGTATGATATGCATCGCCTAATATGATGAGCGAGTGTGTCAGTTGACTGGCCACTAATTCCGCACCCAATAGTATAACCTCCACACCAATCAATATGTATAAATATATGAGTTTCATGTTGTGATCACTTTATGAATTGATTTAATCCCTTATTTAAAGGCACTTAAAACCAAAACTTTAAAATCATGCCTTAATTACTCTCTGAAACACTTGATTTGGTGTCAATTTTTGTGTGCCGTTAACAACAATTTTATTATCAATTCATTTACTTTATGATAACATAACACATACATGTATACTGTATTCAATTGACACTTATTTCATGTGATTCTCAGCACTCATTTATTAGAGATCTAAATATATAACTATATAAAGCATACATTTCCCAATATTTCGTTCAGTCGTTTGATTTTAGATTAAAATTTACATTTTCATCAATAAAATTGACTTTAAATAAAAATAATAAAACTTTAAAACTTTAGCACGTTTACAATTTTCACGTATACACGCAAAAAACAACATCAAAAACTTCCCTTATTTTACATTAAAACATAAGAAAACAAAGCAATTAATATTCAACGAAAAGATAATGATATTTAGGTTTTTTAATTTAATTTTATAATTTGGTGAACAAAAGAAAAAACCGATAAACACTGGAAAATAATTTTTTGTTGTTAAAATGATTTCACACTTTTCAATGCAAAACAATTATTAAGATTTAAGTTAAAAATAAAGTTTTTATTAATATAATGAGCCTTTCGTTTCCTCAATTGAAATGAAATGCAGAGTTTGTGCCAAAGAAATCAATTACAGACACAATCACTTGAGGAATGAAAACATTTTATTAATATTAATTATTTAATAACTAATAAAAATATTTAAAATCATTGAATATGCAATGAATTACTGTTTTACACAAATAAATAAATTTGTATATAAAAATTCAATACAATATAAGAAATGGTATTTTTATTACATGAATGAGAGCTCAATGTTTTGAATTACACTTAATTTAAAACATTTAAAGACATATTGAAGGAAAAACATTGGCCTCAATCTAATCCAACGCAACCTTTAATCCAAATGTTGTCTCTAATAAATTATACTATAATTTATTGAATTAATTCAAATTGTAATTAATGTTAAAGTAAGTGATGGTTCATTTAATTCCCT